CCCTCGACCGAAGGGGGGAAATCAATCGCTTGCTAATGAATAAAAAGTCCCCTTTATTTCACTGCTGTTTTTGGTTCATTAAATTTTCCACAGATTTGCAGAGAAGAAAACATAATCAATAAACCCTGACAAAAGTGAACGTGTGAAAAAGGCCAGAGAATGGAAAAGTGAGATAAAAGTGATATCCGATCACAGATTTCAGCGGCAGATGACGAGCCGGGGCTGCTGAAGAATCTCAATGGGCCATCACCCTTTTGCGGCTTTCCTTCCCTTTGCTGAAACTCTTCATTCGAGACAATAGGAAATGCACTAAAACTTTTTTCTTATGCTAATGCATGAAACTGGGCACTCACAGTTAAAACACACTTCCCAGCAACCTGGTTTTTTTTTTTTTTAACACACAGGCAGACACACAAAACCACATTAACTTACTCAATTTAAACCCAGTCTCAACACCAGTTTAATATGAACTCTGGTCATATCCTAAATGAGTTCTCCTACTTGTATTTTTTTTTTAAGAATCAGAATCAGAACATGAACAGGGCTAGCGAGGATGCTTTTGCTGATGAAGGAATTGGGGGAAAGAGACTAAACATGAAGAAAGTAACGCTGTTATCATTGGTGCATTTTCCCAGGGTTTTAAACACACTTTTGTAGGTAAAGGCTGTTTTGGTCACCCTCAAAATCTAAAAACAACGATCAATGATTTTTTTTAAAAATCCGTTACATTCCACAGCAAACACTTAAATTAATTTTAGAAGAAGTAAATTTGAATCTGATGTCACGTATTTCTTTAAAAGCCACTAAGCTGTTGCTCTTGAGCAAAAGCCACTGCCAAACGACAAAGTTGTCTGATGACCCCTTTCCAAATCGTCTTTTAAACAAGCATGGGGCAAAAATTACAGAGCAGTCTCCCTTCCCGCCTTCTTTATAAGTGAGTGAGCCTTGTTCACTGAAATTGCTGCCTGTTCAGATTTTTGCTACCATCACCTATTTGGCCTCTGAGTTTTCTGGAATCTGAGAATACAGTTTCTCTCTTTGGCATTCTTCACGTGTTTCATTTGTCTGCACCTCTGACACTTACTCAAGAGAAGGAGGGAGTGGGGGGTACTGCTTCCCCAGGGTTCCTTTTCAAAGGGCCCCAGTCCAGCGGGAACAGCTGCAGCTGCCCACAGCGAGGTCCACCTGGCCTGGCCGGCCTGCATGCACCGGGAAACAGGCCCTGGCACAGGTAGGAACCCACCTACCCCACCCCCATCCTTAAGAAGCAAGGCAGTTTGCTCCACCTGCCTCAGCGTCACCAGCATGAATGGGCGTCATTCAAATGAAAGGAAGCCCAACTGAACACACACTTTCCCCAAGGAAAAGGCAGGCTGCCCCACCCCTAGAACACACAAGGATGTAGGATTCCGGTTTTAAGCTTTAACAAGCCAGCTGGGTGTGTAGGGGTCACACAGCCTTTCAAAGTGCACAGGACAACCTCCTGGTCCCGTTTAAAGGGAACTGCTGGCATCTGCAGGGTAAAGGTCGCCACCACCCCCCGCCCTTCCCTGGGGGGCCAAGAGAGGCCCTGATGGAAGAGGCGTGTTTAGTAGGCAAATATTCAATTTTGTCTGCCTGCCTGTTGAATCCCCTGGTTTGCTAATCCAGCCCTAGGGGCTGCACTGTGTACAGGGCACTTGTGGGAGTACAAAAAGCATGAAGTATTTGTGTATTTTTCAGTCTGCAGTGCAAACAAGCCAGCTACAGTACACAGCCCCCAAGACCCCCTCAGCCAGGCAGTGAGTCGCTGACCAGTGGCTCTGTGGTCCCCTCTCCTGGACCAGGCAACTCAAAGGGTTTCTTCTATTCAGGGATCTCTCCCCACACGTGGGCAGGAGCATCCCTGAGGGGCACCCCTTTCTAAGGCCGCCCCACCAGAAGGGCCTAACCCCACACACCCTTCAAGACGGGCCAAGTCAAGAGTCCCCTCCAAGGCCATGGCCACGGTCAGTGTGAGTTTGGGAGCAGCTAGAAGGCTCTGCTGAAGGAGTCTGAGCCCTGTGCAAAATCCCCTCAAAAGAATTCCCACGAAGGACAAAAAAACTCATCTCTTAACAGTCCCGCCTTGCTCCTTGGTGAGCCTGGCCCTGGTTTGAGAGTGTTTTTCCCCCTCCCATTCTCATTCTCACCCACTGACTTTGGAAACAGACTGCTCTGACTATGGTTTCTCACTCAGATGCCAAACCAAGGGACAGCCGGATCACCTGAGGGTTATTTCCTGGGTGAACAGGCTCCTCACCTCGACTGGGGTGCATCATGTATTAGTTTAAATCCTCCTAGAATCACTAACTAACCTCGTACAATTAGCACATTTCTTAAAGAAAAGGGGGAATACCAACCATCCTAAATATCACAAAATATAACTGTGTTTGAAACTCTTAGACAACTGCCAACTCTGGGGTTTGAGTGGAACTTAAATCTGGGGGAGAATGTCTTCACGATTTCCTGGAACCTTTAGCGGAAAGGGGAGAAGCAGCAAGTCTAGGAAAACGAAAGCAAGAAAGATGATGGAAATAAAAGAGGAGCAAGAAGGGAGGTTAGAGGCAAAAGACGCATACAAGGAAGGTCCCAGAGGAGCGCATCTGTGTGGCCTAGAATTACTGCCCAAGGGCAGACCAGAAGCTGGGCAAAGCCTAAAGGGCACCAAATCTCAAAGCAGCCAGGCGTAGCCAGGGTGCCCTCACCGGCCCTGGGGAGACCAGCCCAAGTAGCCACACAATGAATTTCCTCACACGGAGGCAACTCCAAAGGCGCTCCCAGACAGGGGGAGGCCTGACCCCACACAGGGAAGCCGAGAGAAGGAAGCTCTCAGCTAAGGTAAGGAAATGGGCGGGGAGGGGGCTTGTAGGTGAGGTGATCAGAACAAACAGATCTCATCGGGGAGACTTTTGACAAGTCCGCCTATTGCGCCGCTTTCCACCGCTGTATATTTGGGATTGCACAGTTTATTTACTTTACTTTTTGGCACCGAGCCCCCTGAGCATGCCAATATAATATTTGTTTAAACACTATTTTATGCCGCTTGCGAGGGAAACGTTTACTTTCAAATTCTCCAACATCCCCCAGAGCCTCGTCTGCAAACAGCATATGAGCGTTTTACAACTGCTCCCTTTATCTGAAGCTGTCGGGATTAAACCTTCACACGCCCGGCGAGGGCGGCGGGGCGGGGGCG